GGTTTAGTGGATAAGGGCATCAAGCAAGAAACCAGGCAATTGTGAGTTCTAGTGGAACCTTAGGTATGAAACTAGCTGAGTGACTTTAGGCTAATCACCAGGAGACTGTGAGTTCTAGTTTAATGAAAAGAAGGACTAGGATGACATGATAGCAGTGTTCTAATATCTAAGGGGTTGCCATTAAAGGAAGTCAACCTATTCTCAAAAATACTTGAAGGTAGAACAAGAAGCAATGAATAGAAACTAATCAAGGAGAGAAGCAACCTAGAACTGATGAGAAATTTCCTGATGGTTAGAACAATTAATCAGTGGAATGGCTTGCATCCAGAATTTGTGGATGTTCCATAACTGGAGGTTTTTAAGAAGAAGCTGGAGAACTATTTCTCTGAAATGGTAAATAGGGTCTCCTGCTTGAGCAGGGGGCTGGACTAGAAGACCTCCAAGGTCCCTTCCAACTCTGTTATTCTGTTAGTCTTGGGCTAGGCATAAATCTGGCTTGATGTCTTGGGAATATCTAGGGAGAAAAACGTTCAGCAGATTTTCCCCTGGGTTTTGTTTAATATTTGGAAATGTCTCTTTTCACAAAACAGACTTGATGATAAGCAAATAGAGAGGAAGAATATCATATTGAAACTGCTTTGAGACTTTCACAAGGGGAATATTCAAGGAAGGAGAAGAAAGTGTCATTGTGTGATGAGGTAACTCAAATAGCTCCAAAAAAGGAAAATAAATTTAAAATTTTGCCTGGCTGGTTTATGACGGAACTGTTACTAGCAAGATACTAACACCGTGGGAGAAGCATGGTGAAGAGGGACTTCAAAGTTAGATAAAGAGAAGGCGTAATTAATCTCAGAGGCATTTTCAGGATTGAAAGTTGTCATAAAAATAACAAAAGCAGAATTGGGCCATTGTACCATAAATGTGCCTGTGATAACACGTTGCATGCATAAAAGGGTGTGTGATGCTGCTTTTGTCACTTGTCCCTCTCTGAACCCTCCCTGAACAATTCCAACATTTCCCTGTTAATGTTAGGACATTATAATGCTTTACAGAATCCAGAATAACATGAAGGGTCCTTGGAAATCTTCTAGTTCAACCTCCTGCTCCAGAAAGAGACCTTCTACTATTTTAGACAAATGGCTGTCCCATCTTTCCTTAAAAAACACTCCAATGATAGAGCACCCTCAACTTCTGGAGGCAAGTTGTTCCACGGATTCATTGTTCTAACTGCCAGGAAATTTCTCCTTAGTTTTAGATTGGTTCTCTCCTTGATTAGTTTCCATCCATTGCTTCTTGTCTTACCTTCTGGTGCTTTGGAGAATAGGTTTGTCAGAGTATGTTCATGAACTTGACTAGAGCATGGTAACAAGATCAGCCAATGAATAGGCATAGCAATTAAGTCAGCCAATGAGGACTGTTTTGGAAACTGAAACTAGAAGTAGCCTAGGCGTGGCTCTGTATTAAGCTCTGCAACTCTGCAGCTGTGTTTGAAGCTGTGAGTCTGTCTATTGAAGACGAAACTAACTTGCTTGCTGAAGACTGGAGCTCTGCTCTGAACTTGCAACATGTCTCTGTTTGAGTTTGCTCCATGTTGGAGAAATCTACAACTGATTTATAAAATTTTATTATGTTTATAAAGATGTTAAATGAAGCATCAGCCATCTGTGTTTATTTTTCTGGCGCTGAATTATTGCTGTAAAACTCTCAATAAAGTTGACTCCCTCATTTTTATGGCAGCCCCTCAAATATTGAAACACATATCATGCTTTCTAACACCTTGATTCTAGGAAAGAAGGAAATTTGAAATACTGTTGAAGCCTTCCTTACATTATCCAAAGCCCTAACTCCTAGCTAGATATAAGGTCCACCAAGTATAATGTAATTGATTACTCAATTTTAAAAAAACCTGGTCATAAATTGTTCTCGTTGCACATTGTTGGAGTACAGCAGCTGTCAGCCTTCAAGATTTTCTCCCTTTGCTTTGCATCTTTCAGCTGTCATAAGTAACGGGGAGGAGGGGGGAATGGTTATGGGAAGTGAGCTGGAGGTGTTACAAATCAGAACTGTATAAGCTGGGGGGGTAGATTCTTGCTTAGGTTTCTATCCTATGCTATGTGCAGCTGCAACTCTTTATCAAAATATGTCAAGGTCAACGGACAGAGGCCTCATCACCACCTGGAGATGCCCACATGATGATATACACAACTTTTAATTGGATGAGCCAATTGAACTATTGGGGGTGGGAACGTTGCCATCACTTTGTATATGTGATTTACGCGCCCATTTTCTCAGATTCAGAATTCTTTTGTTGCTACCGCTTGATTTCCAGTAAAAGATATCTTTTCTCTGATTAAAGGAGTCTAAGTATTTCTTTCTTGGATTTTGAATGGAGCACCAGCTGACAGCAGCTCTTTAAGGCACAAAGAGACATACATTATTTGTTTTTAGAAAGTAAAAATAAAGATGGCACATCTTCACTCATTAGTCAGTCCCAGTAATTTCAGCACCACATTCAACAAGTATGCACATTAATTTATTCGAGAATTCTGATAGTTTTTCTATTGCCATAGTTCTTGAATAACTTCTCTGGAGCATAACACTAATGCTCAAAGTTCAGACTCCACTAACACCCATCTTAATCAATCTCTCCGAGGCACTGGCTTTGCCTTTTCTTTGTTCTTTCTATGCTTAATTTGTCTTGGATAATCATCATAAGTTCATTTACTATAAAGTTCAATGAAGATTAATAGGATTTATTTAACACTGTAATTGAGTCAGCAAAGGCATGTTTAATGTAAATGAAGAAGATCATTCTGGGAATGAAGTTCGCAACGTACTTTTGGTTCCCACTGGATAAGATCTGATAGAGAGGAATGTATGTCCTTTACTAACATTGGCCACCTCCTACAATGGGCTAGGTTGGACACTGGATAGATTCCATCAAGGTCATCATGAGATAACTTATCCTCAGAGAATGGAACAAGCCAAGAAAAACTTGACGTCTATGGAGATTCACCAAGAGATGACCAAAGGGGGGGGGGGGGAATCAACACCAGGGGTGGGATTCAAATTTTTTAACAACCGGTACTGTGGGTATGGCTAAATGGGCATAGATATGCGACTGGATGGGTGTAGCTTCTTTTTCTTCTTTTCTTTTGCAGCAGACCCCCCTGCACTTCTTTTTTTGCCTCCTGGGCCTCAGGGAAGCCTTCTGGATGAAGCAGTAAGACAGCAAGGGGAATCCCAGCACAGCTGATCATTGGAACAGCTGATCGTTGGGAGGAAAAAGAAGAAATACATTAAGGAATGAATGGGCAGGGGAGAATGCAGTCAGCGATGTCGCGATAAAGACTAACTGGGTGGGGAGGGGAGGGGCAGGCAGAGAAGGTCAGCCAGGGGCATGATTTGCTGGTTCTATGAAATGCACAGAATAGTAGTAACAACCAGTTCTATAGAACCGGCCCAAACCGGTAGAATCCCACCCCTGATCAACACAGCTACTAAACATCTTACATTATATATCAGTGGTGGTGGGGAATGAATCTAAGAATTGCTATCCCTGATCCAGCTACAGGTAATTTGGATTTCAGGGTCATTTAGCCCCTGGAGACATCATCAGGCCTGTGTAGAAAGCCAAAAGGTTTCAAGACGATTCCTTCTGGCTACTTGTAAGGAATGTCTTTTAATATAAGAGATGTGTTTTTTTTTTTTTATGGAACCTGACCTCAGCAAATCAGGGCTAATTTGCATTAGCTGTGCCTGTGGCAAATCCTGGTTTTTAATGGCTCTTCAGAAACGTAGAATGTCTTCCATTATAGCCCTAACCTTGTGGTGTGCCTGCTGCCTTCCACTTCCTGACCCTCATCCAAGACCCAATCTCTGCAAATATCTTTCTCCTTGAACCTGTCAACCACATGTTGGCATTCTGACTCTTGGTTTAAATCACAACATTGCCCCTTGCAACTTGAACAGAATACTGGAGCTCGATTTACAGCTTGACAAGCAATTTACACCCATGAGTGTCTCCGTGATTTACAATCAGAGGGGTTTCCATCTCACCAGAGCTCAGCTCGGCTGTGAAAACTTCTTGCTCGATTTTTCTCTTCATTGAAGAAGTTTGACATCCTGTCCCTCGGAGGTAGAAGTAGACCTTGGGAACGGCACATCCTAGACTCTGAGTTGTGGGTGAGGACAAAGACACTTTTTCTGTCTCCATTTAGCGGGGCCACTTTATTTTAGAGAACTAAAATAGAACCAAGGACAACCTCATCATTTCAACAACACAGCTAGCTTGGCCTCAAATGAATGAAGATGGCTCAGTTTCAAGGAAAGTTAGATGTTGAAACAGTGACATATTGACACTGTGCATTCTGTTACCAAAGCTGCATGGTTAAATCTTTGCATAGATTCCATGTCAGAATTAAGAAGGAAAAAGATAAATCACCCCCTGTCTGTCGAGCACCACAACAGAGAATGAAGAGAGAAAATTGTATTTGCCTCTTCATTTAATACATCAAAGTAATTTATGTCAGAGCTATCTTGCTTGCTTTAATACATATGCAATTTTAAACAAAATCAATCTTGTCTATCCAGTCAAAAAAGGAACTCCAAAAATATATGCCAATCTCTTGGTTGCATTTGGAAAGAAAAGGCTCATCTGAAGGAAGCATCTACCTGCAAAATAATACTTTATTGAATGTATTTACTTGATTGATCCATCAATTAAGGAAAGAAGCTAAGTCAAGAGTGGAATGTGACTTTTTCAAAGATTAACCCCTATGCTGCTTGAAAATACACATTTGTTCCAATCTGCAGATCTCAATCTCTCTCCTGTGCCTATAGAGATTCTCAATCATTCAGGTCATGGTTGTCTCCAAGGTGCTTTTCCAGGAGGCAATTGGACTTTCTTGATTTTTTTTCCTTGCTTCTCATCCAAGAAACTTCTTCAGTTCACGATATCACTTTGTAAAATTCTAATTAACATATTCCCCTTTCTTCACAGTGGTCATACTGATACAGGATAATTCTAATTCTCTGGGATGCATATAGGTGGAGTTTAAGAATTAAGCCACTTGATTTGTAGGGTACAAAATTCAGAGGGCTTTTAAATGGTGAATGTAGTGGAATAGAGTCTGGATTCCCTAAGTGGGAGGGGTGCATTCCAGAGGAGCAAGAGACAACAACAACGTTCAGATAACTTGGTTGGGAAAGAGAGGGTCATGTCAGCTTCTCCCTAAAAGTTCTCAGATTATTTCTTTAGTGATGCAAGTAGTTGCTTTATTTGGCAAGATTTTGGTCTACAGGTGAGGAATAATGAAGGACTCTGCATAGAAGCAACTCTGCCTGTCTTTCTTGGTTTTTGGAGCTTGAGAATGGACTTTCAAAAAGAGAAATGTAACAAAGGCATTTCAGGAACAGTGGAATGGCTGACAAAGGTTGTCTTATTTCTGTTTTTGTTTTTTTTAATCATTCCCTGTAGGTAGATTGAGGATGTTGGAAAAGACTCTTGAGAGTCCCTTGAGAAATCCAATTAGTCAGTCCTAAAGGAAATCAATGGTGACTGTTCTTTGGAAGGACAGATACTGAAGCTGAAGCTCCAAGATTTTGGTCACTATATTAGAACAGAGGAATCACTGGAGAAGACCTTGATGTTGGGAAAGATGGAAAGCAAAAGGAGAAAGGGAAGGGAAGAAAAAGCTAAGCAGATTCAGACTTGGTTTGCCTACTTAGATGAAGTTGGAGAATGTTAGGTTAAGAAATTTAGAAACTTCCTGGAATAAGACATTAGCAGACATTAAGGTCTAAGCTGTTGCTATATGGATGTGTCCATGAAGTCACCAGGAATTGACAGTGATATTTATATATATTTTTGGTTGGCTTTGACTGATTTCAAAAAATTAAGGAAGGAAGATGTGATTAGAATTTGGAAAGAAGACCACCAAAATATCCTAGGGCTATGGAAGGACCAAGGAGCTAGGGGGAAAGGAAAGCCAAGAAAACTATATGGACATCTTCAGCAAAGTATAGAAGAATAGGCAGGACTGAGGGAGTTAAGTGAGTCATAAGTTTAGAGTCATTACATTTCCACAAAACAGCCTAAGTCCAAACCCTTTTAAATTCCATTGACTCTTATCTGTCACGCATTTAGTATTGAACTTTATTGGCTAGTTTCTTGTGTACAGACTTCAGCAGTAAATCTTCTGAAATGAAACTTAGCATATGGATCTGATTCCTTGCATGTGACACACAATCACCAAGAATATAAATTGCTTGTAAGTTCTTCGTAGCCTGCTTGGAGAAGATTGTTAATCTGAAAAATGGTTTATAAATCAATTGACTGAAAGGAAGTGGAAGGCCAAGCACCATGAGGCTGAGCAAGGACTGCATAGATCACAATCTTTTTCTCACAGCGGGTCTTGAATGGAGTTTGAGTTTCAAAAGTAACAAAAGGTAAAAGGAAGTAAGGATGTTCAGAAGGCGTAGCTTATACAATAATGAGTGGGACAATGTTCCTTTATACCATACGTGACACAGGTGTTCAGAGTCATAATGCGGTTAATCAAGAGCTGGAACAGGATAAGAGGGATCTTACATGGCTTTGTCAAGTCCTATCTTCTTCCATTTCTGGAAAGGTGGACAAATCATGCCAGAATCTAGACTTTCAAAGTCCAGTAGAAAGAAGAAGATAAACTTCCGGTTCTAGAGCTATGGTTTTTGTCTTACTCTCCTTGTCCTTGTTCCAAAAACAAGATGTATGTCCTGGTAGCATTAAGTTTTGCTTCTGAATCTCTCCTGGGAAACCATAATTTCCTGGCATTTTTGTGTTTTTGTGTTCTTTAAATGGACAAGATTTAAAGAAATGCAAAGAAACTTTTCTTTCTTCTTTCTTTTTTGGGGGGAAGAGAAAGAAGGGAGAAAGAAACATACGGACAGGGAGTGACGGAAAATCCATGCCAGTTTCCAGCTTAATTTCTCCAGACTTAGATTCTCAGTTCTGTTCAAGTGCCAGTGTTCAAGTGCCAGCTCCCTAGTGTAAGTGAGTGAGGAAATCAATACTCTTATATCAGATCAACTGTTTTCTTGCACTGTTTAGTTGCTCTGTGTGCCGCATACCTTTTTATATTTATTTATTTTTGCAGGTGGCACTTTGCAGGTGTCTGAGACCGTGGGAGATTAATCGTTGCTCGCCACTGCTTCAGTATCAAATGAACCTTGCATATTCAACAGGAACTCAGCTGGGGTAGATGAAAAAAAAAGAGCCATAACTGGTAACGTGGAGCCCAGCCAAAATCCATATTGTGTCCTGAAAACAATGTTGTTTCTAGTTTCCAGTTGAATACTGTATTAAATCCCTTTGCTCTCAGGTTCCAACTACTTAGTGTCCTATTTTCTCGGCATGTTTATTTATTTATTTAGGCTTCGCATTTCTGAAGATTTCACATTCCTTTAATGGACACTGATCTGTTCAGGAATTATTCCCTTTCTTTCATCTCTTTTTCCCCAGTTGTGCTTTTTTTCCCCTTTTCTTGCAAAAAAATCTATCTCTCTTCTCCTTCCAAAGAAACACCTTTGAAGAAATGACTATGGGGAACATGTGTTGCCAAAAATGTTCATCTCTTTTCCATTTAAAAGAGAAGCTGGTCTCTTTCATGCATTCGGGATGAATGTGTTGGCCGCTTCAATTATCCGCTGAATTGAACATTTCTCAAGTTTTGCAAAAATGCATTTTGGCTACGGAAATTTCTTGCACGAGCTTTTTATTTGAGAGAACGCTGTACAAACGTGTATATTCTTTGGTCAAGATGTGTACATATTGTACCCCCAGGGTAGCTGACTACAGGAATCAATGTAGTTCTTTTTAAAATAAAATAAAATAACGCAGAATAAGGGAGATTTAAGAGGACAGATTGAACCCCCAATTCAGAAAACATAACCAAAGTAACTCCTCTAGATGTTGTATTTTACAGCTCAAGAAACTAAGGTTAACAACTGAAAAACAGAATATAACAATAACTATGCCAATTTTATTTAGCATTGTTAAGGTGTTGTAGTCCTCCGGCAGCCTGCAGAGACGGCAGCAGAGTTGGACAGTGGGGAGGAACATGGGCCAATCTAGGAATCTGGGGAGGACTCGGACAAGGATCCTGCATCCAATATAGAGATGGGGCCATGGTGATGCAGTGGTTAGAATGCAGCATGGCAGGCTAATTCTGTCGACCGGCAGCAGTTTGATTCTCACCGGCTCAAGATTGACTCAGCCTTCCATCCTTCCGATGTGGGTTAAATGAGGACCCAGATTGTTGGGGGCCAATAGGCTGACTCTGTGAACCACTTAGAGAGGGTTGTAAAACACTATGAAGCGGAATATAAGTCTAAGTTCTATTGCTATTATTGCTACTTTGTATACTACTGCATGTGCACTGGGAGTTTATGCACTGGAGACAAATTCCTTGTATATCTAATAAACCAGTGGTCCCCAACCTTTTTTGTACCAGGGACCAGTTTCAAGCACAAACACTTTTTCAAGGACCGGGGGGGGGGGGGGAATCCGAGTTTGGTGGTTTGCTTGCAGACGTTTGATTACCTGACTAGGTAACATCTGATGTTGTTACCTAGTCGGGTAATAAAACGTCTGCCAGCAAACCACCAAGTTCAGGGAACGCCTCGGCCCTGCCTCCCTCAGCCCCATCCCTCAGGTGTCTCCCTCCCTCCCTCAGGTGTCTGCCTCGTTCCTCTCTCAGTCGCTCTCTCGCTGCTCCACCAGCCCAGGAAGAAACTGCTTCAAAGAAGCCGGGGGGTGTGGCTTTTCCTGTCGCCGCAGCTCCTCCAAAGCGCCCGTTTACCCCCACCCCGCCCGCCCGCCCGCGCTTCAATCCACAGTGCTCCGTTCTTCCTGCCTGCCTGCCTGCCTTCGTTTCGGAGCAGCTTCGGCTGATAAAAAGAGGCGAATAGTTATTATTCTCAGCCAAAGCTGCTCCGAAACGAAGGCAGGCAGGCAGGCAGGCAGGCAGGCAGAACGGAGCACTGAATTGAAGCGTGCATGGGCGGGCGGGGTGGGGGTAAACGGGCGCTTCGGAGGAGCTGCGGCGAAAAGCCACCCCCCCTCCGGCTTCTTTGAAGCAGTTTCTTCCTGGGCTGGTGGAGCAGCGAGAGAGCGACTGAGAGAGGAACGAGGCGGGAGGAAACCGAAGCTGCTGAGCCAGAGAGCAGGACAGGCTTCGGTTGCTTCCTCCCTCCCCTTCTTTCATTTGTGTCCTTGATCCCCGATCCCAGCAGCATTCACCGAAGGCGAAGAAAGCCGCCATTTTTTATTTTTTATTTTCTTTGCGGCCCGGTACAGAGTACTCCACGGACCGGGACCGGTCTGCGGCCCGGTGGTTGAGGACCCCTGTAATAAACAATGTGCAGCTTTCCATTCATTTCCTGCAGGGTGGCTGAGCTGAAAAAGGGAGTAAAGTTAGAGAAAATGAAGTTGAACTGCTCCCTTGAAGGGAGGTAGACCCTTTGCATTGCTCTTATTTTATTTTATTTGTTTTATTTTATCATTCTGTTCTGTTCTATTCTATTCTATTCTATTCTGTTCTGTTCTGTTCTGTTCCATTCCATTCCATTCCATTCTTTTTCTTCTTTTTATGACCTGTAATCCCTTTATTTGGGAGCAACTTAATGGAGATGATTATTTACTAGCTGGATACCCTTCCTGTCACCTATGTGGTGTTCACAGTAGATATTTTCTCTTTGCACCTTGTTAGAGAAATCTGTTGCTGGCTAGAATTTATCCCTCAACCTTCCAAGTGAGAGGTGAGAATCTTCATTTCTAGGCCACTATACCACTCAATCTCTTCTCTTCTCTTCTCTTCTCTTCTCTTCTCTTCTCTTCTCTTC